GTACAGGCAGGGGGCAGTGCACAGCCCTGACCCCCTGCTTGCTGTCAGGGAAGAAGCTGGTGCTGAGCATGGGGAAAGCAGTCTCTTGCCCGCCCCATGGCCAGCGTTCCCTGCTGCAGGTGCTCGCAGCGCACGCGGGGCTGTCTGGAGCAGGCACAGGCAGCCCCAGGAGGGCCGCAAGCAGCTACAGCGCGGGGTGAGCGAGGGGCTGCTTTTCCCCGCGTTCAGCACCAGCTTGTAACCGGGCCCCGCAGCAGCCTGAGCTCCACGCTGGCTCCAGGCTCACCTGTTGGGGCTGCGCGCAGCAGCAGGAGCTGCGGCCCCCTGCTTGCCACACCAGGCAGTGTTTGCTGCTGCTGCCTGCCCAGAGCTCATGTGCTGGGCAGCCCACAGGCGACATTGGCGAACACTGCCCGGCGCAGCAAGCAGGGGGACCACAGCTGCTGTTGCCGCATGCGAGCCCGGAGGCAGCATGGGGCCCAGGCTGGCACTGGGGTTGGGTCGCAACGTGGCGCTAAGCGCGGGGGGGGGTGGCCGCTCACTCGCCCCGTGCCTGATGCCCCGCACTGCAGCTGCGAGCAGCCCTCCTGGGGCTGCCTCTGCCTGCTCTGGACAGCCCCGCATGAGCTGCAGCGGTTCCGGCATGGGGGCCAGGCCAGGCGGGCCCTGCTGTTTGAGCCCGCCAGACTTCCCCTGGGTCCTACTGGTGAAGTGACAGGAACCAAGGGCAGATGAATATTAGTTTTCTAAATTTTTTAGGGGCCCCATGGGCCAGATAGAATGGTCTCACGGGCCGGATCCAGCCTGCGCGCCATATGTTGCCCACCCCTGCTCTAGAGAGATTCTAGCTGCACTGGGCTTTACCTTATCCGCTAAAATACTGGCTGTTAAGAGCATTTCATATTTTGGCAAGCACAGATGTGGTTAGAATAATATCACACGCTACAGCTGCTTTTCAAAACCAAATATAGTGCAGGAATTTCATTCTGCATGATTTTCTTTTCTTTTCCTGTTTTTTTGTTTTTGTACCATCCGTTAAATAATCACTTAACCAAGAGAACTGACCAAAAGTTATACAGGGAGTTTTGAGGATTTAGTTACCTGTTGGATAAGAGAAAACAGGTTTTTGAGATGACTAGTTACAAATAAACAAATAAGTTCGTATCATTTCTATATCCTGGACTGGTGTGAGTTCTACTGAAATATATCTGTAGCACTCAGACTATCAATGAATGATTTTCAACCAATTTTGAGTAATCATGTTGTTTAGTAAGTTCTTTACAGAGCATAAAGATGTGCTCAATGACTGTGTGGTTGTTTTTCATTTTCCCTTTCTCAGTTTGAACAAGAAAACCAGCGACTTGTTGGTGAGATGAATAGCCTGTTTGATGAAGTGAGGTACAACTCTCTTTATTTCCTTGCTGTCACATTATACAACCAGGAAACGTGCTCACTGGCTACAAAATTTGCTGAATGATAGCTTGCTGCAGAAAAACACTTCTGAATATAGAAATTTGTACATGGAAAAAAATCCAGCAGCCCTATACTTGTAAATAAACCTTTAAAATGGGAGGTACATGACAGCTCATGCCTTATGGTGTTTCTGAACCTGCAAGAAACCTGGTAAAACTCTTTGTAAGCTAGGAACTTTTCTATTTGATGGGTTAAATCTGAAACTCAAAAAATACCTATGCTAATTTTCACCATTAGTCATTTTAACAGATGCATCCATTCAGGATTTTATAGTCCACACAGTCAAAAATAACTCTTTGGACTCCAGTTGTGCAAAAACCCAAATGCCAGCCTAATACAAGATGTATATTTCCTATAATAATGTCTACTATATGTGTATTGTTTATATGAGTCTTCAAAATATCATGAAGTATACCTCTAACATCCAGTTGTCAATGTAGTTATCACACATCATGGCTAAAATAACAGTTGACAAAATAACCAAATTGTCTGATTTTTCTGGGTTTGACAATGTGAATCTACAGTAGAAAATGTTTGTACTAGTACATGGTGGAATATTTTCTTTTCTTTCTCAAGACAAATTGAAGGGAAAGTGGTTGAGATCTCCAGGCTTCAAGAGATATTCACAGAAAAAGTCCTGCAACAGGTAAAATGTTTGCTGTTGTAATATCAAAGCACTCAAGGAAAAGAACTAAACTGTGTTTAAGTGAAATGTGCTTTTCTTACAGACTTTTTTCAGTTGTGATCTGTGTCTTGTTAAATGTACATAAGAACAAATATGATGAGAACAAAACACAGACATTAAGGAAAAACAGAGCTGAAAAGCCAAATTTCACAGCAAATTGCAAGGTAGATTTCCTTGCATCATATTCTTATTAGGCTTGTGTTCCTAGCAGTACTAAAAAAATGCAACACTCATGAATTAACTGTTATAATCGTTTGCCCCAAATCAGTGTGGTGGTATGATAATTCAGTTAATGGTATTTGGTAAACTAGTATCTTTCAGGCAACTGACAAAAATTAATAGACTAGATTCAGGTCTGATCCAAGACCACTGAAGTCAGTAATGGGAATGTTTTCAGTGACTTAATGGACCTTGAGTCATGCTCGTAGTAATGTAGGCATAGAAAGTAAGGTTTAATGAACCCTATAGCCCTCTGTCAATCTAGACTGGTACCAAATGAAAATAAGATGTTAATACACATGCTACTGTATTTCACATTTGTCATCTATTACAACCTCAAAATCTCTTGAGTTAACATTTTTCCAGTGGAGTTTTTCATTGGTTTTTATTAACTCTCTTCATCAACAGGAAACTGAAATTGACAATATTCACCAGTTAGTTGTGGGTGCAACAGAAAATATTAAGGAAGGCAATGAAGACATAAGAGAGGTAATGTTTTTAACTAGTATTTCAATGCATTTCTTGCTCCTGACTAGCAAATATGTCAAAGCACTTTACTGAAAACATGCACTGTGGTATCCAGCAAGGGTCACATTTGTTATTTGTAGACTTCATTAGGGGCATTACCTTGTTTTCAGTAATTGTGTAGGCTGCAGTTACCTTATTTAAAATATGGAACTATTTGTGTTGGTCATTTTGATCTGAACAGCTGTTTGGATATGTAGACTCTGTTGGCCATCAGCTCCTTTTTAAAGAGGAGAGTGACCATGGGCTAAGTATCACTGCCTAAAAAAATAAGGCAACTTGGGGTAGTAGTGGACAAAAACACTGAAGTGAATGGGAATGGAATCTTGAAGCACTACTTGATCAAAATAAATCCTTCCTTATAAAGCTTAAAAGCAGTCCTGAATGTCATCTTATTAGACCAGATATTATTTTGAGCTGTTTTCAGGAGGTAAGCCTTAAAAAAAATTATGCTTTAAGCCCCCTGCATATCAGTGCCTGGGACTGATGCCCCACTTGCCCACCCTGTTATGCTACTGACATTCAGATACAATGCTTTGCATTCATGATTCTCAAATTGCCTAACAAACATGGGCATTGCCACTTTTGCAGTAGAATTGAGACACACTGATGTTAATTGACTTCCATGAGGCCACATATTGAGTCAGTGGCAGATCTGGAAACAGAATGCAGATCTCTGACTTAGGCAAGTTAGGTAACCTAAGAGGTCTGAGCTCTTAGGTTTAAAGTTCTTTTAGTTCCATAAATTAGAGCTAATACATTCAAGATTTGCATGCATAATATTAATGCTAGGTTACTGGCACTGTCTTAAAACCAAAAGAGGAAACTACCTACCCTATCATTTTGTTTCCGACTTAGTCTGAAAGAAATATCTGGAACAGATATTTGCTATTTTAAACTGGGACTGGGTAATTTTTTACATTGAAGTACTTACTAACATTATTAAATCATTTAGAAGAAGAAACGGTCGTTATTGAATTATTTAATCCTCAAGCCTAATAGGACTATTTAGAGAAGTGATTTATTCTTTAAAATATTGATTTTGGCATCTTAACATTTTATACCTAATTTTTTCAGTTCTCTCCAAACAGTTGTTTCAGAACTGTCTTATTTTGCATCATGTTTCTCTTCTCTTGTAAAGTAAATGCTATTGATGAGCTTGGTTTTTACTTTTTTTTACAGGCTCTGTTTTCCAGATTTCAAAGAAATTTGAGTCAATGGGGTGAATTTAGGGCTTGATTCTTATTCAACTTAGGTCAATATTGAGTGTTGCCACTGACTCCAGATTGCCAACAATTCCATTAAATCCAGTCATATTACAGAAATGTCATAGTTTTATTGGGAATGATAATTGAAATCTCATCTTCCAACAGGCAATCAAAAACAATGCTGGATTTCGAGTATGGATCCTTTTCTTCCTTGTGATGTGTTCGTTTTCCTTACTTTTTCTGGACTGGTATGACAATTAATTAAAAACAAAACATGGCATATGTGCTTTGCTTTAGACTTGTTTTTTCCTCTTGAAGTGAGACATACTGTTTTGTTATGCAGTTTTAGAACTGGTGTGGCTGAAATACCTTCCAGCAAAGAAATAAATGGGGAGTGTGGACAGAAAGTGTGTATCCAAGCATATATCCGCTTATGCGGAGTGTACCTACATCATTTAAGTTCCTTCAGCAGCTTCACAAAATAAATGTAGTCTTGCAAAGAGAAATCCATTAATCTGCTAGCAAGTGAAAACTAGGCTGTAGCTTTTTAAGCGGCAAGAAATTTTCAGTAAGATGTAAATTATACAGTATTAAGAAACTGTTGTCTGTAAAACTGTTTTCTTTAGATGACTGCTGGTAAGTTCACAATGTGGGCAGGATGCACAACAAAGAAAAGTTCTGCAACAAAGCCTTACATTTTTCCATCATCTCAGGCTTCTGTTTAATCACATCACTTCAGTGTTAAATGTAGTACTGTTCTGTAAGTATGACTACCAGTCCTAATTCTACAGAATTAGTGTGGCCAGTTTACTAGTTTTTGTGGATAAAAAAATCAAGTCAGTCAAAATAAAAAAAATAAAGCTTTGCTTATAGGTTCCATGAAATTTGGGAAGCATTGCATATACTATATTTTGTGATGGAACAGATGTAGTGAGATTGTCAGAGCACCAAAGAATAGGTCACACAAAAGCCAGACTTTCCAAAGAAGGAAATGTGAAAAACCTGTTTAAAAACTTCAGGAATAGCTATAAACAGGAACCTCCTTGTTAATGTCAGTGTAAAAAACTTTCAACTTCAGGGAAAGCGGATCAGTCACCAAATAAGCTTGTTTCCAGACACCTCCACAAAACGTACTTCTTTTCACTTTTTCGGATGCTTGCTTTAATGGTGGAATTATTAAGTCTTGGCTGCACAGCAAAGATGTTTTTACTGTTCCAGGGTAGGAGGGGCAGGGAGAATGGACAGGCGAGTGGGTGGGGGAAAATAACTTCTACGAAGAATAAGCATGGGCAACAAAGCTTATCACCTTGTAAAATTGGAATTCACTTCTCTCAGCAGTGGTTTTAAAACATTCATTTTGCTGTATCTCTTGTGAAATGCAAGTGTCAACATAATGTACGCAACAAGTGGTATCATCCTTATTCTTTATTTTGCACAGAGTGAAAATGTCAAAAGTTACATGTGGCTTAATTTACATTCAATAAAGTACAGGTCTACTAGAAAATACAAACATGGCATGTCTTAATATGTTCAGATGGGTCTGAACTTTTTCAAATGCAAAGAAAAATTTTGGCACACAATTTATTGCTTTTTATGCATTCCATATAACATGATGAAGTACTAAAAAGCCTTTTACAGTACATAACTGTATAATGCACACTTGTGTTTGTATCAAACCTATAGAATTGAGTAACGGTAATCTTGTACTTTATCAGTTGAAAAGTTCATGATACTAAAATGCTAGTAATAAAAGAAAAACTGTAACCCATAAGTGGAGCTGACCATGTTTGTTCTGCTTCAAGCCTAATTTTGGTGTTTCTCCCTTCATTTTTATATAGCGTCTATAAAAATAATGAAACTTTTGACATGTCCACTAGAAATATCACATTCAAGTAACATGAAAGGAAAAAGTGACTTGCATACCTAAATGCTTAACACATTTATCTTGTCTAACTGGCAAATTAATCATGTTTTTGTAATATATATTTAAGATTTATAATAAAAATGAAAACATGGTTTCATACAACGAATAGTCAAGGATTTAGTAAATACAATGAAATTTGAACGTGCATTCACAATACTATGTTCATCTACATCTTTTTCCTCCCAAGCCATATACATAAACAATTATACTTTTCCACTCAGTTTTGACATGTAGCTTTAAAACAGCAAGTAGTGTTACCTAATATGCTACAATTTCACTTGTGATGCCCTGTGTTTAAAAAGTAGTAAATTACGACTCAATTAATTAACTCAAAGCTTTTTGTAATGTATAAAAAGGGAAAATGTTAATGTCATATAAAATGGAAACAATTTAGACACGTTACTCCCTTCCTCTGTTATATCAGACCAATTACATAGTGGACTTTATCTACAGTGAAAGGGCTTTCAGCCTTTTAAGTATGATCAAAGGGTGTGATTTCTCATTGGAGCAGCCTCTACTCCACAAGTTTATGGCGGTTATTTTAATCACAATCCTGAATATATTTATTACTAAAAATGTCTGTCTCCCATAATATCCATGTAATTTGTGTTTCAGTGCACATCCTTACCAAGATGCTAAAGCCACAGTGGAAATGCAGTGAAGATCTGTTGACAGCAATAATAAAACATTGAGCATGCCTTGTTGCAAAAAACATCATTATCACTTACAAATCAACAACAGTGGAAAAAAATATGAGAAAAATGCTACCTGACCATTTTTCTTTCCTCTCTCCATAACAGTCACTACAACATGCCCTTGATATCATCCTAATCTGAACTGGAAACACATTTTTAAAACAGCTCTTAGCTAAACAAGAGATCACTCTAGTTATGGATATGGTGTTTCAGTTTGCAAAATGGGTGACTGATTAAAAAACATGAAGTATCAGTTCAGACAGTAAAACATACAATTTATCTAGCTTCCAAACCCCTGAAAATCCAGTGGAGAATTCTGTCAGCATCCAATAAATTGCAAGAACATATCTAAAGTTGGATTTCTAAACATTGAAAATGGTGTCAGAGCTCTAAAGCGATGCTGATATGCACCTTGTTTTATGCCCATGAATGTTCTGCAGCAAGTTTTTTTTATTTTTTGCAAAGCAGTATCAGCAAACAGAAGCAATTGCACCATAAACATGAGTAACCTCTAAATTATCCATAATTATATCTAATGAAAAGTTCCTTAAAGTCCCTTAGTTACTTTCAAATGACATGTTATTAGCAGTTTGCTTATCGCACTAAGCTGATTTCTCAGCAGCTTCGGTCTCCTGTTCAGACAGTTTTTCTTCTGATAGTACTGTCATCCATGGAGACACTGAGCGTGTGATGGTTTGTTTGGCCAGATTGTAGTGGTTTATGACCGTGTAAAATTTCCCTCGAGTGCTGGAATCTTGTTCAGAATAGTAGTTCTCCAACCCAGCTGGAATGCACTGATTATTCTGAAAAAAAATTCACTGTTTAGATGACAGATACTGCCCAAAAAAAAAAATCACTAAAAATAAGTGAAAAAGATAACAAGTAATTTCTCTCTTTAGTCTCCATGATTTACTCATGTGTGAGTCTGAAAGCAATACACATTAACTATGGTGGTGTCACAACAATTCAGTAAAGTGCTCTACACCAAGACAACTTCATGAAAAGAGTTTGCCTGAGTTCCAGGACAACTATATTCTAGCAGACTTCTATCTAGTACAATTATTATCTAGGACACTAGATAAAAATAGGCAATATCAAGCTGTCCCAATTTTAGTCTTTTTTACCCTGACAAGGTGATTTCTTAAGGATGTTAAATCTCTGCCTTCAGGATGTTAATTGCATTTTCAGTGCAACGGGTAGCTACTTCCAGCTGTGCGAATTACAAATACCTTTTTTCCATAGTTTGATTAACTCTAGGTACATTAACAGACTAGTTTCAGTCTGTGTTGGATAAAAAGTAATATAAATGCTGTGCACAGGTATGGAGACATTTGTATAGTATAGCAAGCCAAATACCACAGTGAAAATACTGTGGAGGTTCATCTTGCACACAAATATCTATGCACAAAATATATCCCAAGATTTTCAGAACTAGGCTTCTAAATCTCATTTTAGACATACAAATGTGTGGCCTAATTTTACAAAAGCACTGAAAAATTGAGACTTGCTCCAAGCTCAGATTTTGAAAACCAAGTCTCTTAGATACCTAAGCAAGCAACCTGATTTAAGAGCCCTAACTTTTAGTCATCTATTTATGAAAAATCTCAGTGGACATGTGAAAGTGGGGCCTGTCCATGCTTGCATCACCTCTTGGCCAGCTTTCAGCTCCTTTAAGGAAGCAGTTCAAGGATAAAACAGAGTACGTAACTTGCAGCCTAATGTGCTCTAGAACTGAAGGAAAATGGGATTAAGAGACTAAACATGTTTTAAAGCTGTTAATTCTTATGGTAGTCAGATCAGTCTGAGGAAAGAATAAACCTAATTATCTCTATCCTAACTAAAAATGTATTTAAAAGGACCAGTATGCTGGTAGGTCTTCCTTGTCACAGCAGCAGAACAGAAGTTTTCCTTAAATGCACAAGCACACTAATTTCCTTAAATGCACATCACTGATTTTCTCAGAGAATGCCACAAACAGAAATTCAGTTCAATGGCAGAAAGTCCTGAGCGCCATAGGAATTTCACTCTTCTATGACCACATACCACCTTGAGCATGGGTTTGCTTTTGTGCTTGTCCCTTATTTAAATGTCACTGTTTAATGAATAGTATAACTGTTCAAACAAAGCAGTGTGCTGTAAGATCTAGAGCATTTCGCATTCAGAACTACTCTGGTGTCCTACAGTGCTGTGGTGGAGAAATATCAGACAGAAACACTCACCTGTTCCATGGCCCTGTCCACAGAAACATATGCCCTTCCCCCCAGATGCACCTAGTTTCTCAAAGGATAGGGTATGGGTTAAGCAACCAAAATCATGAGGTTATAATCAAAAGGGGCAGACAAAATGACATATTATGGTTGAGCTAATGCATGAAAATTCACTGCCACAGTAATTTAAACCAACACCTTTTTGAAACCCCTAATAATTTGAAGAGCACATCTGAGTCAGTAACTTGCAAATTTTGACCTACCCATCTCTTAATTGAACAGAAGCTTGGATTACTGTTAAAGCTTGAACTGGGGACACTGGCTCACTCACCCCAGCAAGGCTTGATCTATTTGTTTCCCATCCTTTATCATCACCAGACCTGTGGCTGATATCACTGGTGAAATTTTGCTCTATTATAAAGTCACCAATTCCAATGCTCTGGGATCGGTGACTGGAGTCTTGGGCCGATGCAGAACACCCACTGAAGCTACAGGCTCCTGTGAGGGACCTGGTGACTGCAAGGAGCTAGCTGCTATAGGAGAAATGCAAAGGGCAATTCTGGGACAGTGCATTTTAGTACTTGCTCAGCAGAGCAACTGCACCTTCTGAAAATGTTCTCCATGCTTGATCTGAGACACTGGACCAGTTAATATGAGCTTTGAAGCAGGAAAGTGACTAAGCAATGCTTTTCTATCACAGTGAGACTTGTTTGGTAGGTTGCATTTATGGCAACTTTGCTTTCATTATAGGTAGGTTGCCTAATTCTTTCATTGCTGGTAGGCTGCCTAATGCTTTCCATTGTAGGCCCATTACTTACAACTTTGCCCAATTCTGCTTAGGCTAAAGTTGTCCATGTTAGGTGCCTGATTTGTCCACATTGCCTTCCTCTATGGATATAATATTCTGTACTGTATATGGTCCTGGTATTAGAACTTTAACTGTATCACTGTAACTTTCTTGCACTTAAACTCATAATACGTTAGTATGATACTTCAGTTCATAGGTGTAACATTCATAAAGTGTTTAGGGCCTCCTGAGATGAAAGTTGTTCTTTAAATTTAACCTGTGATACAGATTATTTCACCCTTGTTAAAGGTAGGAGAGGAAGCATGATCCATTGATCTAATTAAATCTGCAGGAGGACTAAAACAAATAGAACATAATTACCAGCACTGGACTCAAGCCCAGGCATTGTCAGTACAAAAAATACAGCAGGATCTGCTTCACTGTATTTATCATAGCCAAAAGACAGCAGCCCAAAAGGGCTAGTATCCCTTATTTCTTCCTTCCTTTTTAACACAGGAAGATGCATGGCACCTAATACAAGAGCCAAGGCTTGCACATTGGCATTCTCTTTTGGGTAGATTCCTGCCCTTGTGTTTCTAGTAAAAATCAAGTAAAAAATCCTCTAGCAATAGAAGGGGCTTGGCCCTTTGAGGAATCGTAGGCCAACCTCAGGAACTGGCCAGCCTAGTGTCCTTTAAAACAGTAGTGCTTGACCTTTTTGGCCCATGGGCTGGATGGGCAGTGTGTCCAGTCTGTCCACAGGCTGGATTCAGCCAATACGCCTGATCCAGCACCCCAAGTGGTCACAGCGGGGCCCCATCCAGCTGTGTGGAGAGATGGAAGAGGACCAGTCCAGCCCCAACCTGGCGCTGGCAGGGGGAAGGGAACATAGCTCAGCCCCGATCCAGCCATGGAGGGATGGGGTATGGCCTGGCCCCAACCTGCTGTGCAGGGCTTAGGGTTTGGCCTTGGGGCAGGATGATCATATTAACTGCCACTGCTCTCCCGCCACCAAATTTTTCAACCCATGGGGAATCTTGTGGGCTGAATACCATGGCTTTGTGGGCTGCATTTCACCTGGAGGCCAGAGGTTGAACAGCCCTTTTTAAAACAACCCCCTCTCTCCATGGCCAGAGCTCCCTGTTGTAACTGTGTTATTAGGGCTTCCTGCCCTGAGATCTTGGACTTAATTCAGGACAGTAACCCTTTCCTAGTGCCCAGGTGATGTATGAAAATAGCAGGAGTAATGCAGGTGATCTATGCATCGCAATAAATTGCTGAACATCCATTTCTTTCACAGCCTTGTTTTGGAAGGAGTCATAGATTTCACCACTGATGCCTGTGACAGCCCTGGTTTCCAGCTCTGCCTAGCCCTGGCTGCATCAAGACAGCTGTTACAGTTCCCTTGGCATGGAATGCACTGATGCCCTCACTGGTTCCCTGTGGAGCAGTGTCATTCAATTCTGCTCTAGTAACTTTGCTGTGCCTATTACTCTAGAGGTATTGGGTAAGACTGCTGATCTTTAGTTGACATCATGGGTTATTTTGATGTGTTTTCTCTAGGTTTAACAGAAGACAAATTCTTTGGCACTAAGGTGCAGTTGGCACCTTGTGGTTTAAGGAGCTGTATGATTACATTTTTCTATGCATCAAAAGCAATGCTGTTATTATCTCCAAAAGCAAAGGCCAAGGGCATTAGAATCTTTGGAATCTGTGGCACCATGGTTGAACTACCCATAATACTCAGGCATTAATTCAACAAGGCCTGAAAACAAACTGCTTTGAAGTTGCTCCGTGTCTAAGGGCATTGGAGTAGAGTAAAGACAGCATGGCCTTTACAGACTCCCTGTGGCACTGGAACTGCTGATGCGAGATACAGTGCCCTTTGCAATCAGAGCACATCAGCATCCTTGGCTGGGGGACATCAGGGTGAGAGCACGTTGATGCAGGCAGTATTAGAACAGTGTGTGCCCAAACAGCTGTGTAATCGTTGCAAGTCGTTGCAAAGCAACCGTCATTGGCACAGACTTTTCCCCTGTCTCAGAATGGGCTTTTGTGCCAACCTTGCCATGTCACCAGAGCCTGCTAAAAGAGGACATGAGCACTGGCAAAGGCAGACTCGTATACTGGCATCATATCAGTTTTAGGCCACGTGACTTGCAGAGTTGGTTCTTCTGAGTAACTCTAAAATCATACAAAACATAAACCTTTATACATTCTTTATCTTTTTTCCCCCCAAGAAATTGCCTCCACAAGCTCTCTCCCCCACATTATGAGTATAGTAAGCAACAATACAAGCCTGTATGTGATACGTGCCTTAAAGAGCATCTTTGAGGGCCACTGAGTTCAAGAGTAAGAATCCAATGAAATGACATCCTGAAAGAAGCTGTATTACAGGGAAAAACATTTTCCCTTCTCTTAACAGTCGAAAATCTGAGGTAAAAAGGAAGCAAAAACTATAGAGGATGTAGAACAACTAAAATAAAGGAAAGATGTAGGAGAGACTACTACTGATCAGGAGAACATGATATGAAGTACTCATGGAAGAAACAGATTTTAATAGAAAACAGTAGTTCTTAAAATGCCAGGTGAGATCGGGATTCCATGATGCTAAGTCTAGCACAGTCTCTGCTCTAAAGAGCTGACAGTCTAATACACATGGCTGTTTTCATCTCCATTTTACAAATGGTAATAGAGAAACTAAGTCACTTGCCCAAGATCATGCAAGAAGCCAGTGGCAGAACCAAAAATTGAATCTAGATCTCCTGAATTCCAAGCAAATGCCTTAAGAGCAAGTTATTTTAAAAGTAGGAACTGAAGTGAGAAAGGTGGCTTTCCAGTAAAGTGAGAGGGTGTTTCAAACACTAGTAGCAAGCAGCAGAACACCAGGACTAGGAAGCAGTGGAAAGGAGGTTGGTCTCATCCTGAGGATGGTGCTGAGTTTATATAGGATGATCTTGAACATGAAGGACAAGGATATTGAGTTTAGTAAGTCAACGTGGGACAGAGAGGCAAGAAGGTCAGAGCAAAGGGTGAGGAAGACAATTTAGAAACAGCATTTTGGGAACAGTTCCCAGATTAGTGAGTCTCAACTAGGATGCCAGGGCACCCCGAGGAAATAAGGGCAGGTTCAGATTCCTACAAGCCTGTCTGGGGCCCTGCCTTCACTAGCCATCCCCTCCGCAAGGAGAGGAGCACTGTAATACATTTTTTTTTAAATGGGGTGCTGCTCAATTTACAGAAGTTAAGAGTCCAGAAAAGTTGAAGAACCACTGCCCCAGACAGTCATTGAAGAAGAGGCGAGAGGCCAGCAAAGAGAATATGACAATAATCAAATCAAGCTGGAGCCTGGGCTAGGTTTCAGTAAAGAAGGCAAACAGCAAGGTGTGGCTTTGGTGATATAAAACAGCTGAAATGACAAGATGATGATGGAAGATTAGAAGTAGGGAAAGGAGGTGAAAACACTCAAATTGCTCAAATGGGGGACAAAGAGTTATTTCAGTACAAAACCACTAGTATAGTAATAACCCAAGGCAAAACAGGAGTATTTGGTGTCTACCTCAATGTTTAGGAACCCAAATGGTATTTTCAAAAATACCTAGGGTACCAAACTCCTGTGTAAAATATGTTGAAAATCACACTGAGCATCTATTCAGATCTTAAGAAACCTAAACACCTAGAAAAATTTCTAGGGGAAGATCGTGGACTACTATCATGTTACCAGCACCACTTCCTGGGAATTCCTCAGAGGTCTCATCCTAATATAACTGCTCACACTCAACCCTGCTCAATTCAGAACTAAAAGACTTCATACTACCCATTGGTGACATTTTTGTGCCAGGAGCCATATGATGTCCTTGTAAGAATGATCCAGTTCCAGTCCCAGTCTCCTCATCTTATTCCTACTCAGTTCACATTCAGTTGTCTCCATGCTACTAACCAACTCCTTAGTACCCCATATGCAATTAGATTCATTAGCAAAGATGTATTTTCCCACAAACATACATTGTTCCCTTTATTTACTTATGTGGGGGAGCAGTTCCTATAGAAGAAATTATATAAAACTGTGACAACAAGTTTCACCTTAGCACAAAAGGTTCCTTCTAAACAGGCAACATATATTTGACCCTCCAGAGCTCACAATAGAATCAAAACTTTTTTGGCTTTATGATAGATATATGGAAGTCCAGATGCTTTATTCTAGTCTTTATATTTATAACTTTGTTCTTTCCTACGGCCTATAAATTTGAGGAAATACGTGACATGGAAATGTCTCACCCAATAAAAAAGGGCTTCTTTCAAACAGCTGTAGGTAAAGATTCACTGTTGTAAAGGGCACTGCCATTAAGAATGATATTAGTCTCTTAATTCCTGAGGCACCAGCAAAAAGGATATAAAAATATTACGAAAATCGTGTAATACTCACTGCCTCATTTACAAATTAGGCAGAAACAATTACAGAAAAAAGCATTAACCTATGAATATAACTATAAACTGTTATGCAAATCATCATGCCTTAATCAAGAATAAGCAAAATGCAGCAGACACTTTCACATGCTCTTCTATTTTTATATGTAGAATATATGTAGCTTTTTTTACCTTGAAGACAAATCCTTCTGGACAGGTATGATCATACTTGTAAACCTTGTAGACTACCAGAAATACAACACATGTTAGGAAGGCAAGGGCAAAAAGGACCAGGACTGTTACCTGTAAAAGAAAATAAGTCAACATTTTTGTTAATAATACACAGACTACTCTTGTTGTTGTTGTTGTACTTAACCCACCGAAGTGCTTTGCAGTAAAGCAAATAACGATAACTCATTAACTATGAGAACAGTCATGTTTACCCCATCAAGGATCACGACAGGGGGCACAACATACCCATTCTACAAGCACTGCACTCTGAAACAGCAGTTGTATAGCCACCTTAGTGTAGTAGGGCTCATTGTCTTGAGTGATCTTATTGGCACATGTCTTTCACCACACTAGGGCTACCACTAAGGTAGGCACGTTACATCCATTTTGAGGGATAACGTAAAACAGAAGTGCTGTGCTTCTTCACTCAAGTCTGGCACCACCTAGCATCATCGTCTAATGGGGGCAACGTGTCCAGAAGTGCACTAGTGTCTCTGCTGCTCCCATTCATTCTGCTAGAAGCCAAAGACAGACTGGGTCAGTGTCCAGTATCTGTAGGGCTTTTCTAAATGCAACCTGTTCTGTTGGTTTCCTGTTCAGTGTGTGCAGGCAGCTACAGGGACACACCATAAATTGGTTTGGGGCAGCAGTACTATCAGGACTTGGATAACACAACATGTCAGTCAAACATGCATCAGACACTAATGATTAAGTGTATGTGCTAGGCCAGACAGGAGTTTGGATGACAGCAAATTATCTGACTCTCCATTTAAATAAGATACTAGTGAGGGGGTGTGGGACTTCAGGAACTATGATGGAGGTGATATGTGATTATGGGATGAGTTGGGGAAGGGAGGAGTGTAGTCAGTGACATTTGCAGGCTGGGAATGCTTCCTGGGATCCTCAGAGCTCCTGAGTTCACAGGGTGTACCAGAAGCCTCTTTGATACAGAGCCCACTGCAGAAGTATGCTGGCGCACCAAGGAGTGAACACCAATGTGCTCAACATGAGGCTACCCCTCAAAGCCCTTTGGAAACTCCAGAAACAACTTCCCAATTATCTAATAGTGCACATGACAAATCTGTATTTCACAGACTGCAATGGCTACCAGTCTGTTTCCAGATAAAATATATGATATTTAATCCTGACCAATCAAATATCATATATTTTAGGTTTTTTCTCCCTTAGGGCCTTGTAGCACAGCTCCTGCTGCCCTCCAGCTCCCTGTTATAGCCTGAACTAACACTCACTTAAGTTGATGGAAAGATACCAATTTACCTGACTGGGTGCTGAAACAAAGCCTTAAATGCTGTTTCCTTAAGCATCCTCCTGAGAGTTGCAGTGTTTTTGCTAACTACCCTAGAACCGAGCTCTCACCTGATGGAGCCTGGACAGCATCTGGGGATGGAGAGGGAACACTGACTCTGAAGTTAGTGTTCACTTGGCTTTAAAAAACCCAGGATGGTTGCCCTGAAAAGCCTCTGTCTGAGGGAGATGTGGTCTGAGTGAGGTTACTGTTGCCCAGGAAACTTGTCTTCCAGGTGTCTTTTTGTTATAATTAACTGAAATTCTAAACTGATCTACAGCTGATGGGATGCTTTTTCTGACCAGTTAGAAGGGAAAGCATGTGTTACAGGAAGAGAAATGATAGTAAACAGAGCCAAACAAAATTATGTCACTAAGTAATTAAAACAGAAAGGCAACTTTCAATTTGATCTGGATTTTAAAAAGAGCCAGGTAAGTAGCTGCACAGATTAACTAGGGAATGGAATTCCATTGAATTAGGGTCAACAATGCAAACGATGTTTTGAGATTTGGAAAGCAAGAAAGGATTTAAAGATTCTGAATCTACAGCAAGAAGAACCCGAGGACTCTAATAAGAGCTAACTGGGGCTGGTAAGATCATACTGCAAGATTTAATCATGGCAGTGGGCCCTTTTGTGACATTTAAGGAACGTAGATTCAAATTCTGGGGACTTCTCTACATTAGGAAAGTTAGCTTAGTTACAGTGGTAAATGATCTATGCCAACTACCTTAATGTAGACTCAATGGTCGAGCAGTGAGGTGTGTGGCAGAAGCCAGTACAGTCTTACAAGAATTTCTGACCACTGTTTAAACAAAGCTTTCTTTAAAATAGCACACAAAAAAGGGACAGGGAGAGGGGATCATAATTGTGGATCAGAATGTATTAGGACAAAGGCTGTTACTATTAGCTTAATATTTACATGGAGGAAAGAATCTAGTTCACAGCAGCATCTTTAACTTGCAAGGGCCTTCATTGAAAAAAGTTGCACACTGAAAACCTGACATTAGTTTTCAAGTATTAGTCTTTCTCCAACTTTATAGTGGGTTTGCTGAGGTGAGCGCTAAAACAGACAGAGATCACTGTGTGTCTCCTTGTATCATGAGAGCGTATGGCCCCTCTCCATGTTTCATGGTTTCTTTCCTTCAGAGGTTAAGACCCACCCAGAAATATCAGGACAAACAACCAGCCCTACACAACAGACTAGTCATTCAACTAGTGCTCAACAGCTGGCAGAATCAGGCCCTCGGGGCTGATTTTTAGAAGTGTGGATTACCTGTGTGTCTCACTGACCTCACCAGAAGTAGTGGCTACCTGGTGCTTCTGCAAATCACATCTACAGCGACTTTCTCACAGTCATGCAGTAAACAATGGGAACAGATCCCAGGTCGTCTGATCCTCAGTTCTCAGGTACTTCTCTCACTTTCATTACATATTACCTACTCCAGGGATGCTCAACATCGATCCCACAGGCCAGATCTGGCCCACAGAGCCATGTCATCTGGCCTGCCAGGCTCTCCATGGGTCTGAAAAGTTAGCAGCATAGGACCAGCAGCAGTGTTAACTGCTGCTCCCCAGCTGCCGTATTTCCAGACCTGTGGAAAGCTCAGAGGCCATGGCCCTGCATGCTAGGTCAGGTGCACAGAGCTCACATGGTATAGGGCCAGATCCTGGCATGTGGGGAACAGACCAGGACAGCATGAGGTCCAGGTCAGGCTCGCCAGGCTTGATCAGGGCAGTGCGGGGCCTGCTCTGGGCACACAGGACTCAACCCTGTGTGCTGACCCTGCTATTCCTCCAGCTCACAGGGCTAAAAGGTTGAACACTATTGATCTACTATAATGGTAACAAAATGTGAATTCTCATTTACAACAACATTACATTTCCCAAACCCTATTCAGAAAACTCATGGCTCCTTCCTACCAAAGTAGGTGCCTTACTCTCCACCTACTCGCCAGAATACAAGTAACCCCCTTTGCAGCAAACAGGAATTACTCATATCCATGAGGTGAACATGGGAGAAGAAAGAATAACGCATTTAGATGCCAGTCTGCTCTCCACGTACACGTAACTCACTCCTCTTTTCTTACAGTCTGACTTACCTTCCTCTCTTTCTTCCAAAGTTTCCCCAGTTTACATAATAATCTACCTTTTAGCACCCCCACCACAACCTCTAGGTTCTCCTTTGAATTTCTGAAACTATCCCTGAGGTAGGAAATCCATTTCCCCTTCCTCTACCAAGCCCCATTCGTTGAGCAAATCCCACCACTCCATAACCACATCCTGATCAAGTGATTGCCCACTCCCCAACTAACTTGTCCTATCAGGAACAACAATCTTCCCATTATGATTTCAGAAATGAAGATAGCTAGAAAGAAGCAAGCTGCTCCACGGTCTATCAATCCCTAAAGAAGCTGCAATTTTACTTGCTCCGTTCCCTCAGGAGCTCTTCATCCCTTCCCCCTCCTGTGGAGAGGGTCTTTTCATCTAACCATAGAAGCCCCAGAAGCAATTTCCCCATATCATCTGTTCAAGGTGCGAGAGGGTGACAATTCTGGAACAGGCTCAGCTCTTCTCTTCCCACAAGGGAACCTGGCATTGCTTCTCTCTCAGGCAGTCACTTGGCCAAGTGCCCCAGTGGGAATGGGAGGCACTTGTGTGCTATGGAGTACACATCCAAGAACTCTCTCAGGGAGGGTCTGATGCCTCCTATTCCAAAGACGTGTTTACTCCATTCAAAATCATTTTATAAAAGCCCATAACAGTTCAGTCATTCAACATTTTTAGTTTGAGTAACATGAGGGAGCCCTTTTCAACTCAGTTTTACAGAGAATTGCAGCATAACTGCTCAAACTGGAGAGATGAGACTATATTAAGCATGTGGCAGATTTCTGAATAGATTGTAAGTGAAGAGCAGAACCAGCAGAACGTCTAGCCAGAAGCCATTACAGTTATTGAAGAGAGAGATGACTAACGAATAAACCATGTATACCACAGCCAGAACCTATCTCCAGTCTCCATTTAACTGAACAAGTGAAACTCAGAGGAACTGACAATTGCACTCGTATAGAAAGCAACTAATGATAAGGCCAGAATCAAAAACTTCCAAGCGCTGAAACAGGAACAGCGCTACAAAATCTTCCCATTCAAGGCATGCCCTTGGCTGCAGCTGCAAAACCACATGGTTTAACATGTGTTTACCTCTCACTTTGACTACTGCAACCTTTTCTCTCATTTTGCTGATGTTTCCCTTGCTTACCCTCAATCAGCCCCCAAAGCTACTGCAAAAAATCAGCCATTGCTCCAACATGCAATTCCCCTTTAAACCCTCACTGGTTTCCCTGCCTTTCTGAATGAAAGGCAAGCTCTGTATCTAAAAGACTCTGTTCAAAGACCATGCATACTTTAACTCTTTCCTCTCTGCCCTCATCTCCTTTCACTGTTCCCTTGTCCCACCGTTCCACTGAAGCCACATGGTTTACTGTTTATGTGCCACCAATCTCCGCTCCTTTCACGCAGCCCAAATCTGCCTGAAATCCATCTGATAAATCAGTCTAATCCCATCCTACCCTCCTTCCAGTTCTTTTTCAAATTACAGATCTTTTCCAATGCCTCTAAATCTTCCTGGAAGTGTCCACAATGTTACCATGGTACACAAAGTGAAACCAGTGAGACATTAGCATAGTACCTATTTAAGCTATAAACCCTTTGGAGCCTTGCTTCTGACTTTCTCATAAAATGCTATCACACTTGTTGTTATAAAAAGAG